AGCAGAATGTCACTTTCATGAACAGACGGTCCCACAATCCTTTTCTCATCAAGCGTGAAGAGGAAAGATGACAAGGAGCTGTGGCTGCTGCTGAGCCTACCTCCTAGTGATTACAGATCCTTATAGGATAGTGTCTGAAGAAGCCCAGCTGCGCAGGGTGGTCGTGGACTTGACAAAGACAACAGAAGCTTTCCAAACGGGATGAAAAGGAAGTTGTTCTACTGTAGGCAAAAAAAAAAAAAAAAAAAAAAAGGTGTGTCTGAACACACATGCCATGAAGTATGTATGTAAGGGGCAGGTGTCCTGTCTTTTCCTGCTGGCCAAGTGGATATTTACCATTTGCGTGACAGACTGTCTTTACCCTGCAATTAGGAGGCCTTTGGATGAGGGGTCCAACACCTACCTTTTAAACAGGCAACCAGAGCTACTATTGTTCACCCATAGCAGCAGTGAGGGTTCACTGTCCAAAATACACCACGTGGAACAAGCAGTTCCCAAAGTGGTTGTTCTCTTGAATAGAGTTGGTTGAAAAAAGTAATAACCTAGCAGCAGATGAGACTTGAGTTTCTGCTTTTAATATGCAGCCTGGGGTAAGGTCTTTGGAGCACAGGTGTTCAGATCTGGTCATAAGATGTCTATTTCCGGCAAGAATTACCCTTATTCTTGTACATTTTACTGCATTAAGAGGAGTGTTGCCAGCAGGTCAAGGGAAGCAATCCTTCCCCTCTGCTCTGCACTGGTGAGGCCACACTTGGAGTTCTGTGTCCAGTTCTGGACTCTCCAGTATAAGAGGAGTAGATGGACACATTGGAGAGTCCAACAAAGGTCCACTAAGATGATGATGGGAATGAAGCATCTCTCCTGTGAAGAAAGGCTGAGAGAGCTGGGACTGTTCAGCCTGGAGAAGAGAAGGCTCAGAGGGGATCTCATCAACGTGTATAAATATCTGAAGGGAGGGCATAAAGACGGAGCCAGGCTCTTCTCTGTGGTACCCAGTGGCAGGACAAGAGGCAATGGGCACCAACTGAAACACAGGAGGCTCTGTCTGAACATCACAAAACACTTTTTCACTGTGGGGGTGACCAAGCACTGGCACAGGTTGCCCAGGGATGTTTTGGAGTCTCACTCCTTAGAGATAGTCAGAAGCTGCCTTGACATGGTCCTGGGCAACTGGCTGTAGGTGGCCCTGCTTGAGCAGGGGCTTGGACCTGGTGACTTTCAGCCATCTCTTCTAACCTCAACCACTCTTTGATTCCCCTTCTCACAGCTTTCCTGGGTTCCTGCATTTGGGTCACAACAACCCCATGCGGCACTGCAGGCCTGGGGAGGAATGGCTGGAAAGCTGCCTGGCAGAAAAGAACCTGGGGGTGTTGGTCAACAGCCAGCTGCATATATGCCAGCAGTGTGCCCAGGTGGCCAAGAAAGGCCAGTAGCAATCCTGGCTTCTATCAGAAATAGTGTGGACAGCAGGACTAGGGAAGTCAGCACTGGTGAGGCTGCACCTCAAATACTATGTTCAGTTTTGGGCCCTTCACTTCAAAAAAGACATTGAGGTGCTTGAGTGTGTCCAGAGAAGGGCAACAACGCTGGTGAAAGGTCTAGAGAACAAGTCCTGTGAGGAGCGGCTGAGGGAACTGGGCTTGTTAAGCCTGGAGAAAAGGAGGCTGAGGGGAGAGCTTGTCACTCTCTACAACTCCCTGAAAAGAGGGTGTAGCAAGGTGGGAGTCAGTCTCTTCTGCCAAGTAACAGGTGATAGGACAAGAGGAAATGGCCTCAAGTTGTGCCAGGGCAGGTTTAGATTGGATATTAGGAAAAAATTCTTCACTGAAAGGGTTGTCAGCATTGGATCAGGCTGCCCAGGGAAGTGGTTGGGTCCCCATCCCTGAAGGTATTTAAAAGATGTGTACTAGTGGTGCTTAGGGGCACAGTTTAGTGGTGAACTTGGCAGTGTGTACAGTTGGAATCAATTTTAAAGGTCTTTTCTAACCTAAATGACTATGATTCACCAGCTTGCAAAAGGGCACTGCTGTTCCAGGGTGAGCCTGGTGCTGATAGCCAGGTTATTTGCAGATATGGCATTAATTTATATAATTGCCATAAATTCCCCTCAGCTGCATCTGTAATAACATTATAGATCACAGGTGAAGATCCTTCCCCATGGCCATGCCTTTGAACAAAACTATTTGGAAAAGCCAGGTAACTGCATCTTCACATGTCTCTGCCTTTCTCTTCTTTCTCGTGACAGCTCAGTTACGCTGTAACTCCTACTCCCGCACACATGCATGCTTCATGGTGTGGAGATCGTTTAAGGGTAAGAAGCTTTCTACCTGTAGGACTCTAAGAAAGCATCATTAGTCTTTTCTAGCCTATTATGATATCTTGCTGTACATCATGTGAAAAGAAAAAAAAATTAGTGATGCTTTGACCAACCCTTACTGTCACTGTCATTATTATAGTTACTCGATAAATATGCATGAATATAGTAATAAGCAGGGGTCAGCATAGACATTGCTTCTCAAACAACTGGGAAAGTTTAATACTGCTTTGAAGATTATTTTGTTATAGTACTATTAAAGGTGACTTATTGTTGGTTCTCATTTGTTCTGGAACTTGTGTACTGCTCTGTAATAAGTACCTTCATAAGGATTTTAAAACTACTTAATGCTAGACTACCTGCCAGAAGATATCTAAAGGAGAGAAAAAAAAATTACTCCTGTTTTTATTATGATTAGGGGTACATTAGAAGCAAACATCATCTTTCAGGGATTAAATTAGAAAGCCTGTGAATATTTGCAACTGTTGGTGAAATGTTATTTCCATATACGCTCAATTGTTGTTCAAGATCCATTGAAGCTTCTGAAGTTGTTACTACCTGGAGATAAAGAGAATCCCACTGGCTGTCACCAGCAGCAGCTGGTCCCAATAGTCCCACTGTGTCCTTCCACTGAGCCACAGCTGAGCTCAAGACCACTGGAAGTTTGAAAACCATGGGGGTACTCTGGTTTCTCAAAACTCATAGGACTAGGGATTGCACTCGAGCATATTGCTGTAGCACAGGATGGTTTTTTAAAATGTACTGCACAGCTGAAGCAAAAGCAACATACTATTAGAAAATTACTACCTGGATCACTGTGCTCAAAACAATTTATTAGTTCTGTCATATAAGCAGTTCCAAATAAGGACATAAATTCCCACAAAATAATTGCAAATGTTGGTTTCTTCTCTCTTAAGAAACAGGCAAATACAATATATTATGGTTTTAGCAGGAACACCCTCTTTCATCTTGCCTCCCTCCAAACTCTCAAAGGTTAGAGATCTGAGTTGTGCAAGAGAGCTGTGTGAAGTGGTATACCCTGATTTTGGCCCTCTGGATGGGGCAGTCATTTTATCCCTGTTCTCCCCTTGTTCACAAATATCCAGCTACTTCTATCAGAATTCAAAGTGCTCAATAAGCAACAGCTTACAGAGGCAGCTTTTAGTTCAACACGGTATGTATTGTGTACTCTGATTAGGAGTATTTTCCTTCAAAGTACCCTTTCATTCCAAAAGTGACTTTCATGGGAAATCCATTTACTTCAGTTGTGGGCAGTTGGCAAAAGCACACTACTCTTTCAGCTGGCTTCATCCAGCACAACACCCTCTGAAATGAAGTGTACTCCTTGCAGTCCCTATTCTGGCTAGGCAGATAAAAGTTTTAGGGTTTACTTGCCTATTTTCTCCTTCCCTTACCTCCATTTTCGGAATACCTAGGCACAGGAGCCGTTCCTGTAATAGAGAGCATGGGAGGAGGGTATTGTGACTGGGAAGATTATTAGGTAGGCCATAAAAGAAAATATCTTCATGCTTGTTTTCTGCAAGTGAAAAGGCCCAATGTTTTCTTATCCAATTGGCAGTTGTCATATAAGGCAACACCAAAGTAATGAGTCTGAGTGGAACAATTTCATAAAACAAAAAAAATTCTGAGAATGCAGTGTGCCAATATGGCAATGACTATTTTGCTAATGCACAACTCTTACAGTTTCAAGTTGAGATGTTGCTGCCTTCTAAGCAGCTTTTATTTCCTCAATACAAAAGTCTGTGGTTCTTCACCATCCCCTTCCCTGAACAGTAAGGCATTTTAACTCCATATGCTAATTTCCCTTATTAAAGACATGGACTTCTTGTCTGAACCTCTTGTTAAAAAACACCCCAACCATCTTCGCATGACACAGGAAGCAGTGTTTACTGGTTTAATTCTTGAAGCGTTTGCCCTATCTCACTTCTAGAAGAAGAAAATACATGAAAATCAGGTCTGTCTGTAAGACTGTCGAGGAAGGGAAGCATGCTGCAGAACTGCACTTCATATAAGGAAGCATAAGACAGCCATTTCTAAACCTAACCAGTTGGATTGCCACACCCACCAGTAACTCACTGGTACTTAACAATTCATCAGCCACGTATGCTCACCACAGAGATTACTAGGAACTGTTCAACAGTACAAAGGCAGAAAGATGGAGAATAGTCAGGTATTGATCACTGTCCGGCATCCATTTTGTAAAAAATTTCCAAATTTGTAGCTCGTATATAAATATGACACCTTACTAATTGCATCTTAAGAGCCAATAGGATATGGACAGATGTCTTAAGCATCCAGGCTGGCTCTGCATTTTAGTACTCAGTGCTAGAACGGCAGCCAGGTGCATTACCAACACAAGCTTCCCTAAATTGGGTGCAGGTGAAGGCAAAACTTAACTTGGGGGACCTAATTCTGATAATTTGTACAGGCATAATGTCAGATGCTGAGTTACTGTAACCAGATATGCCTATATGAGGCCAGTACAGCAAGGTCAAGATCCAGGACTTACCTTCCTGCCCCCTCAAAACTGGGATTTCACTCTACCATTCTTTGTATGAATTAGCAAGAAGACAAAAATGCAAGTCAGCTTTGCTGCAAGCCTAGTCCTGAGCAATAGAGGAAAAAAAGAGATTGCTTTCAATGACGATATGGCAGTTAGCCTGATGAAGTTAATCTTTGCTTTAATTGGTTGCCCAACATACATATTTAAACATTCTGTACTAAATTAGCCAGCATGCACACAGTAATTGGACCAGTCAGTGACTTTCTCCTTTCACTATATACATACACAAACAGGAACACCACAAGATTGGACACAGGAAAGCAATTTGTTAACCGGATACAGCTAGCAAGTAACATTTTTTCCTCTAGAAATGTTTTTCCTGCAAATTCACAAGTGTGAAGACTTTCTGTCAAGGCTTGAAGAACTTTGCAGTCTTCCAGAGAAAAGGCTAACAATAGCCACCGTAGCTGAAATGAGATAAAATTAATTTAAAATCCATTCCAAGCAAGAGTGAAATTGAAAAAAAAAAATTGCCTGCAATGTAGCATAAGGAAAAGGGACTTTGGAGACAATCCGAGCAGATGCACTGAGGTAGAAGGGTGGCTTTGGACCCAATTCTGAACACCCTTAGCTTAGTGTAAAAGAGAAGGAAGAGGATCAGAATCGGATCCAACATTTCACATTCACCGATACCTGGTACCAGAAAGTCCGTACCTAAAGAAGTGAAGTGTTTGCTTACTTTATTTGAAGAACTTTAGTTCTGTGTCAACACAGTCATAGAAAAGATCCACTACTTCGGCAGGATCCAGAACCTCTGTACGAGTAAGGATATCTTCCATTGCTTCTAAGCCTTGTTTTTCAAGGTCTAACATAATCCTCATCAGCTTCTGGCCTTTATCCTAAAGGCATGAAACAACCAGAGTCAATTAAGCAGAAAACAGGCACATTAAAGCATTTTACTGTTCTCTTCTGTTACAAAGATCTTTTCAAGTATTTTTAAAAATGAGAAAGCCTTTTTAAGTACTATTTCTGTTAATAGTTTTTTGGATGGTCAAAGGCTGAAAGGAACAGTGCTGGACACTTTATGCATTAAGAAAAATAACCAAGAAGGAGTTGCTAAGTTCAAAGCAGAGAAGGAAGACGGAGTGAAAGATGGATAGAGGAAAATGGTATAAGGCATGCACACGATAAATAGGTAAAACAACTTCTGTAAACCTGCAAACAGAACTATATGAGAAGACTAGAAGGCACAAGGATTGTACAGATCATGGTATGTACACCTGTCTCCCTCAGATCATCACCTGCAAGATGATTAGATCTGAAATGATGTGTAATGTAACAGCATTAAGATTCCAGGTCCCAGAGAAGACTCTGTGTGTCATTCTGACTTCACTTCATGTTTCTTGGCAGGAAATTCACTCCTGATGAAGGTGTCATTTTGTTTTATCCAGATGTTATTTAAAGTCTCCTATTTTTTAATTTTTTTTTTTTTTTATAGAGAAGTGCTCCTTGTTTTGCTTGCAGCTTTCAAAATTGAATTTCAGAAAAAAAGGCATTTAGAATGAGTGACAGTTCTCAGCTTTCCAGGATTTATACCAGCATTTGTGCAGAAAGAGTAGTGCACCTAAGCTAAGGTTTAGGCTCTCAGGTGGGCAGTTTTTATAGCATGAAGCCTGACTAAAAGCTACATTTCCTTTTCTACCATAACTTTTGGTGTCACACCATGGGACCTTAACAGGGATGATTTCACAAGATACTAAAATACCTCTTCTAGGTCTTCCCTAAATCAGCATCTTGCATAATGCTGTGGGAGCTGGCTGCACATTGAGTCAATGTTACCACAGAGGCCACAGATTTTAAATTAAACCATTCCAAGGGATTAAAAACCACATCTAGCCAAAACTGCGTTTAAATAAAGTTTGTACTGGCAAAGGTTACCATGGTTTCCTTAATCACTAATGGATAAATCTGAATGCTGTTATGATCTTAGCAAGACTCTGACCTACCCAAATATGCACAGAGGAAAATTGCAGAAATGCAAGTCCTCCGTGGAAGTTCAACATGACTATGTGGGTCTTCCACAAATTGCCCGAAATACCAATACCAGCAGGACTGGCATGCCCTAGGGATCTCTCCCTCTGTTTTACTTCCTTATAACTAGTTATCCAGTTCACTGCTGTAGTTGTAATTGCAAATGTCAAAGAACAGTTATGAAACTACTTGCACTATGACAGCAAAAGTGTTATCTTAATCAGTTGGAAAAGCTGTACAGAATAATTGCCTTCCTGCCTTAATTTATTCTGAAATTTGTTCCCCTGAGAGATCTTCAATACTTTAGGTTTTTTTACACTGGAAGGTTTTCAGCCTTCAGGTACCTGTTGCATAGCGTTGGAAAGTGTCCTTTCTTCTCACATGACATTTTCAGTTAATTCTTACAAATTAACAGAAATGCATTCAATTGAGACTTGCAAAACTGTCACATGCAAATTATTTCTTCAAGAAAAACTACTCCAACTATGTAGTTCTTAACTCAGCATATAATTTAAGTTATAACATTCCTGCCATCATCCTATCATATAATTCTGATACCACGTTGCATTAGCATCCAGTGTTCAATAATCACTATAAAAGACTATATAAAAAACAGGGACTGAACGAGCTAATCAGCTTGTCCATTCCACTTTTCACTTTGTAAAAGTAATGGAGCAGAGCAACACTCAACCAAAAAAAAAACCTATGCAGAATAGTTTGTCCTTCAGAGGGCGTCATTATTCAAGCTAAACTTGCAAGGATTCTAAGAATATTCAGAGATTTTTTTCAGTGAGTGATTTTGAAGTAAATTAGGCAGTTAGGAATCTACATTTACTTCTTTAATTCCAGGACCCACAGCTCTTACCTGATCATTCTCAAGAAGAGATCGGGCCCATTCATGGGCCTTGTACAATTCATGCCTGCGATCAGGTTTCTCCTGGAATCGAGGTATCTTTTTAGCGGGATCATCATTGCCAAAAGAAGGAGACTGTACTTTTGGTACTAATTTTACATCATCAACAAAAATAAAGGGTTTAAATATGGACCTGAAAGAAATGAAAATTACTGCTTGCAGCAATAAGAGAAATTTTATATATGCCATTGAAATGTTCACCAGGCTATTTTAAAACAACAGATACAGAACAGCATAGGTAATTCATCTACACTAGGCACAGACTAGGTTAGAGTGTCGATACTGGTACTGGTTGGTGCCATCTCTCCTTCTCCTCCCAGATTTCATTTTCATTAAAATCACAAATACACACTTGTGTGGAGCAGGGAAGATTACACACCTTGCTCAATATCAGAGGATTTGGCACGTAATCAGCAGCACTTTAGAATCTTATGTTGGGGAGGGGGTGGGGGGAAGACATAGCTACCAATATCGTGACACTTTTCAAACAACTTCAACACTGAGTTTGGATCTAAATTGCAGAAAGAAAGACAGACAACAAAACCCCAGCAATCCAGGATCTTCATTCCTGAGAATCTGTGAGCAGGTATTGGAAAGTGCATGGAGAAACTGCCTTCCTCCCCTTTAGATACACAAAAGAACAGCACCCTGCATCCTGCAGTAAAGAAGCTGCCAGAAGTGCAAGGCTTCTGCAAAACATGACTAATAACCACTGCCTGCATACAGTCAGCGGGTTCGTTGCTGCTACCCTTTCCATCACTGTCATAAAGCCTTGCTGACTAAGAGTTTGTGACTCACTAGCTGCACTTAAAATAATGCCTTTTTAATGCATTAGAGTGTAAAATAATGCAAGAAAGGCCTCTAAACAAGGTTTTTTTTACAGTTAGGCTCTCTGCCTTTAAAAATGACAGAACTCCCACCAAAACAATTTGAAGCCTTGCTCCTTTTATCTCAAAGGATTTGCATCAAGTCAAAGAAAAGTTTTGGTAAGCAAGGTCGAACTTCATACTTAACCCTGAAAGTTTGAGTTGCATAATGCAAGGTGGGTGGAAAGTCCCTTTGGCACAGATGACTTCCATAGCCCTTGGTAGAACCTAATGCTTACTACCACTCTTCTTATAGGAATGTCTGTCAGCTGTTTGAGGGCACCATTTTCTTTCTCCCCATAACCTCTTTACCTCACTGCAAGCGGCAGATCTCCTGAATAACTGCAAGTGGTTTAGTTTAATTTCTGTGAATCCCAGGTGGATTCTGTTTAAAACACAAGATAATTCATTAGTTCTTTGATGATTTAGCCCATGACTTCCCTTATCTCCTCTGCTGCTTTCAACTAGAGAAGACCAGAAGACCTGATTTAAACCAACTGGAAATTGTCCAATAAAAAACAAACTTGGGACACCTGAATTTAGGAAAAGTTCCAGATCTGGCCTTTCAGCCCAGTGGTGTCCATTTAGAATTGCAGCAAGATGCAGTTCAGTGATACAGGACTGCCAGATTGCACACCAGCAACTACTTGATTGCATTTCTGGTTAGAACATGCGCTTGAAGCATGTTCCAATTTGGTTAGCAGAGTTTGTTTAATATCTTTCAACCCATCACTTGGGGAACCCCACTGCTGCGGCTTACCTTGAAGGGTCTGGCGTGCCAGTGAAGTAATGAACACAGGGAAAACTAGGGTCCTGAGGCAGAACAGACACTATGCTAGCTGTAGTAAGGAAAGATTCAGAGTCTACACAGACACCGCTATCCTTGTCACGCAGGACATCAATCATAGCTTGTGCAGAAACGTCACCTATATGAAGGGGGGGAAAAAAGAAAATCCTGAGTGTTGACTGGCTTGGACCCCAGGTAAGGATATTAGCCTGAACAGGCTTTGGCCTAATATGACCAGTGACACTTGACATAGGCATGTCACAAATCCCAGTTAATAGTTTCTATTTAAACAATATAAACCCAGAATGAACTTGCCTAGCTAGTAAAAGAGAACAGTAAGTAGCGTTAATTCGGCATTACAATTGCTAGATAGGGAGAAATGTCATTTAAAAGGTATTTTACAGGAAGAAGGCCATCATGTCTGTAGCATTGCTTTAGCAATCACTATGAACAGACTACTTGCATAAAATACCCATTTTCCTCTAAGAAGCTTCCTCTACCCAAGCCTGGGCAGAATAGGGGCACCCTGATCTCCCATTTCTCATCTATTTCCATTAGCTCTCAAGTCAAAATTTTGAAACATCATCTCACATTCACAGGTGTTACAGCAGCAGACCTAGACACTGAAATTTTTCTCCAAACCACTATCTACAAGAATCTGTTTTCATTCTATTTCCTGCCTGTGTCTTATCACAACTTTCCCCCCGTGGCACCTCCGTATTTCCTGCATTACCTCCCCGTTTGGCAGGTAGGGCTTCTTCCCCAGCAACTTCTCAAACCCTGCACTGACTCACCCTTCCATGCACAGGTGCCTCAGTACACCAGGACACATGGAATGACCCAGCAGTCTGCAAGATTTGCAGCTATAGCCATCTGTCTGTAGGGGCCCTGAGGCTTTTTAGCGCTATAATCCAGGTTTATTAAGACCTTTCACCTATGGACCTTCAGAATTACCGTATTTGCCTCTCAGACACAAGTTGTGCTCCATGTAATTCCATAGCCTTAGCAGAAGCTCTGCATTGCAATAAATATTTCACCTCTACACCCTTGACATTTGCCAACACGTGAAAATGCTAAAAATCTGGTAAATTCACATCTGTAGTAAATTCACATCTGTAGTAAAGGGAGTTTTATAAAGAGATTAATTTTTACCATTTTTCACACATGAAAGAGCACATACATGTCTGCCATGCACTGCTGCAGGCTGGTCATTTCAGAGCTATTTTGGCTAGCTGCAGTGAACTTAAGTCATTAATAAATTTTGGTCTGGAAATAAACCCTTCCTTGGACTGAAGCCAATTGGCACATTGTTCTGGTAACTTTGTTCTGCTCCACAGTGAAAAACGGACTTCAGTTTGCAACTGATTAGCTTTGCTCTTCCTTAATCTATGATCTTAATTCCGCCCCCAAAAGCCTAAGCAAACCTCCAAAATGTAGAATCCATTGTGCTCAAACTTCCATATGTGAGGCTTTTTTTTTTTTTAAATACTATAATTTTAGTATTAGGTAGGGCCACTATAACTCCACCAAAGCACAAAAGCAGTGGCACATCATGCCACACCGCAGGATGTTTTAAAACCTTAAACTTGAGGGGAACATTAAGGGCTTCATCCTAAATTGTGGCAAGTTTAGGGACAATCTTCAGTTCTGGTCCTCTGTTCCACATGGTTTACATGTAGAGGTATTCTCCTCAGTCACAAGTAGTTCTGGACAGAATGCCTGAAAAGAGGCAGTAGTGAATAAAAATCCCGCTGCACACACAGAAAGATGGTTCCACACTTACCACCTTGCTTTTCTAGGCTCTCCTTGCCGGAACAGCAGGTTAAATGGTCATCAGCAAGAGAGAACACTTCAGAAAAATTGAAGTCAGAGTCTCCGTTCCACCAGCCTTGACTTCTCACATAATCCCTTAGTTCAGGATGCTCAGCATCAATTTTTGTAGTTAATGAAAGCTGATTACAAATGCATTTCACCCCCTCTGTAGAAAGGGCCACATATTAAAAGAAATAATTAATAGTTTTTCTGGGAAAAGCTAGAAGAACAAGGTAATTTCAATTAGGAAACAAAGTAAACCATTGGTTAGGATCTGTTATTTGGCATGACTGTGTAACTACATATACACAGAATTACCAGTCACTGCAGGCTGCAGAACTTATATAATATAGGCTTATATTAAACTTCATTTTTAATCTTAAATTTTAAAATGGCATGAAGTAAAAAGAAAGTGTAAGTAACCTTCAAAGAATACTACGAGGGTTTTTTTTTTATTTGCTTTTCTCAAAAATACTGCAGTGCTTATATCCATATATCTACAGCATGACTAACAGTGGCTGCTGCAGATACC